AAAATTTGTTTTTATTTCAATAAACGATTATACTACCGGGTCTGAACCTCCTGTGTAAATTCGGGCACCTTCAAAAGTCTCCATGTATACTTGATATTATTGTTGTTGTTGGATTTGCATAAACGAGTTCCAGCACTCTGCTGAATTAACCGAAAATAAAACACGGTACTATCACGAGAAGATTTGTATGTTCTCGTTTCCCAACTTAATAGTTGGGAAGCAAAACTTACAGCATTATCGCAAGTAATGGATTCGGCCTACGGCCAACTTTGTTTTAAGGCACTCCCTTAACTTTATAACAGGTTATTACTTATTATTTTATAGGTTTTTTTTTAAACGATTGGAGTTTTCTGTTACGATGTGCAGTCAAGATATGAAAGAGAAGCTATGTAAGCAGATTCACTAACAGCCAGGAAAAAGCTAACATACTATACGTTTATGTGACAATTTTATCCTCTATGGCAGTCATTACATCAAGAAAGAATATCTTGGTCCCTTCCGTATAGAAGCTTAGAGAAACGGAACATGTGAATTGAACAACGACTGCGTAACTTTTACCAGTACGATTTCTTATATTTACACGAACACTACGCCCCATTAAATGATCATGAATGCTGCAAAGTATTCGAAATGACGGGGATTAAGTTAAATTAAACACAAAAAAAATCCATAAAAATAGTTAAATTTAACAATACATGTGATATAAATAGCTTAGAGAATCTTAAAGCTAGAATAAATACTTAATTACTGCATGGAACACAACATCGGAGCCACATATTTATTTGGTAACTTAATCGATCTAGATATATACAACTCAACTTAAATTAAAAACATCCATTACCTATATACAAAGTAACTTAATTAAACACATTAACCATTAAATACAGGGCTAGCATTTTCAAAGTTAAGCGAACTGTCAAACAAAGGGGGTTACAGAACTTTTTTGTGATAAAAATCCAATAAGACATTTTTAGGTACAGCCAAGAGAACCACTTGGTCTGTCGACGTCGCCACAACATCAATACTTTCTAGATTATAAACTATTTTTAACGAGTATCGTTTCTTTTTTTTTAGTTTCTGCGGATTCTTCGAACTGTACAAAAACATATTTAGAGTTTTTTGTTACAAAAGTAACTTTTGACATAAATTACGAGTTAATAGAAGTTCGAAAGATTCACTGGCTCTAGATTCAATATTTAAAGTCCAATTTGACTATATTACGGAGGACAACCAAAATGTAGTACGTTTTCGCCGAAATCTATTCAATGTTAAAAATCACCTTCCCAACCAACCTTCCCGACTAAATAGTCTTAAAAACTGTATTTTATTTATGTACATGCGGAAGCTAATAAAAACATGTCCCTAAAAAGTTCTAAAAACATTTTCTGTTATAAAATTACAAATGGTTGTAAAAACTCATCAGTACTGTCATTTTGACGTTTAGTAATTAAATTGGTAATTTCCCGTCAATTTTCAAATCACCGCAATATAACCGCCAAAATGGAAATATTTCAGAAAAAAAATATGATTCTATTTTCATTCTATACTAGTTTACCAGTTTTCTTTACCTCAAATTACTAACCTATTCAAAATAGTCAATTGATTGGTTTTATCTGAATAATAATTTACATGTGCGTTTTTGTCTTTGTCATAGTCTTGGATGATTAATTAACAAAACAATGGATTTTGTTTTTATTTCAATAAACGATTATACTACCGGGTCTGAACCTCCTGTGTAAATTCGGGCACCTTCAAAAGTCTCCATGTATACTTGATATTATTGTTGTTGTTGGATTTGCATAAACGAGTTCCAGCACTCTGCTGAATTAACCGAAAATAAAACACGGTACTATCACGAGAAGATTTGTATGTTCTCGTTTCCCAACTTAATAGTTGGGAAGCAAAACTTACAGCATTATCGCAAGTAATGGATCGGCCTACGGCCAACTTTGTTTTAAGGCACTCCCTTAACTTTATAACAGGTTATTACTTATTATTTTATAGGTTTTTTTTTAAACGATTGGAGTTTTCTGTTACGATGTGCAGTCAAGATATGAAAGAGAAGCTATGTAAGCAGATTCACTAACAGCCAGGAAAAAGCTAACATACTATACGTTTATGTGACAATTTTATCCTCTATGGCAGTCATTACATCAAGAAAGAATATCTTGGTCCCTTCCGTATAGAAGCTTAGAGAAACGGAACATGTGAATTGAACAACGACTGCGTAACTTTTACCAGTACGATTTCTTATATTTACACGAACACTACGCCCCATTAAATGATCATGAATGCTGCAAAGTATTCGAAATGACGGGGATTAAGTTAAATTAAACACAAAAAAATCCATAAAAATAGTTAAATTTAACAATACATGTGATATAAATAGCTTAGAGAATCTTAAAGCTAGAATAAATACTTAATTACTGCATGGAACACAACATCGGAGCCACATATTTATTTGGTAACTTAATCGATCTAGATATATACAACTCAACTTAAATTAAAAACATCCATTACCTATATACAAAGTAACTTAATTAAACACATTAACCATTAAATACAGGGCTAGCATTTTCAAAGTTAAGCGAACTGTCAAACAAAGGGGGTTACAGAACTTTTTTGTGATAAAAATCCAATAAGACATTTTTAGGTACAGCCGAGAGAACCAATTGGTCTGTCGACGTCGCCACAACATCAATACTTTCTAGATTATATACTATTTTTAACGAGTATCGTTTCTTTTTTTTTTTAGTTTCTGCGGATTCTTCGAACTCTACAAAAACATATTTAGAGCTTTTTTGTTACAAAAGTAACTTTTGACATAAATTAGAGTTAATAGAAGTTCGAAAGATTCACTGGCTCTAGATTCAATATTTAAAGTCCAATTTGACTATATTACGGAGGACAACCAAAATGTAGTACGTTTTCGCCGAAATCTATTCAATGTTAAAAATCACCTTCCCAACCAACCTTCCCGACTAAATAGTCTTAAAAACTGTATTTTATTTATGTACATGCGGAAGCTAATAAAAACATGTCCCTAAAAAGTTCTAAAAACATTTTCTGTTATAAAATTACAAATGGTTGTAAAACTCGATCAGTACTGTCATTTTGACGTTTAGTAATTAAATTGGTAATTTACCGTCAATTTTCAAATCACCGCAATATAACCGCCAAAATGGAAATATTTCAGAAAAAAATATGATTCTATTTTCATTCTATACTAATTTACCAGTTTTCTTTACGTCAAATTACTAACCTATTCAAAATAGTCAATTGATTAGTTGTATCTGAATAATAATTTACATGTGCGTTTTTGTCTTTGTCATAGTCTTGGATGATTAATTAACAAAACAATGGATTTTGTTTTTATTTTAATTTGCTTTCATTATTATTTTTTTTAAATCTTACGTTTTGAGGATGAAAAGCTGAAGGGTTTATCTACGAATATTCCTTAAAAAAAAAAGACTGAAAACGAAGTATTTATATTTTGTTCAAGACCTTCGTTAAAGACCTTTTATTTTATCTTTTCGTTCTCAATTTTTATAAACTGTAACATAAAAGTTAGTGCGTCGGAGTTTTTATGAACTTTTAGTGCTTTTTAATTTGTAGCAACTTTATTAGTCTCCTTCCTCGTTGGCATTTTTGGTCTAAATTATTTTAAGCCCGAGTCAGGCTTTTGATCTGTATGTTTTATTATCTTCTTATTCGTGATGTTTTTACTTCTATACTACAGACGTTTAACCGCCATTTTGGCTTCATTACAATTTTAAATTACGTTATTCAATTTTAATTATAAATGGATTAATTCACTTCTCAAATCAAGCAATCCTTATTTACACTTGCTTTCTTGGCAGTGACCGGCTGGTCTTTCCTCTGGTATATACAGCATTTCTTAATTACAAACAATGAATGAATACAAACAATTGTCAAATGAAAAATAATTTAAATCATCGACCATAAATAGTAAAAGAAATCGTAAATTCCATTCGACCAATTCAATCGATTTGCCAATTGTCAAATTTACAAAACCTTTGTTACTCATATGTCGTAGAGTATAAAGGCAAAAATAATAAATAGATTAAATACAAGCTAAACCCTTCAAAATATACAATTTACTTAGGCACAATACGTCAGACATCAACGTTTCTTTGCTGGGCTGTCTCTCATCAATTACACAGGTTTTAAATTACGTTTTTTTTTATTTTTATTCTTTATGCAGTAATTACAGCGATTCAACATGTGGGCATTGCATATGTATTTAACAATTAAGAATCGTCTCAGTACATACTAATGAAGTAAAATAAATATTCAAAATTCCTCGCAGTATAACCAATCAACTCATGTCTATAATATTATTTTCGTACAAACTTCATCCTAAGCTATTATAACACCACACGACACAGATAAAAAAATATTTGTTTTCCATAACAACCTAAAAAGCCGTTATTAGACTACACGAGACAGACAAATATTTTCAATAATCCATTACGGTGGCAGGGCCACGCAACAACTTCGGCTGTTGCACGAATGGGCAGGCCCGTCCGGGTAAGTACCACGACCTCACAGAAGACCAGCGTAAAGTGGAAGTATGACAAATACATTCGCGTTTCGTCTGGTGAGTGAGGTAGCCGGCGCCCAATTTTCAAAAGGTTGTCAACGCATCTGTAACCCTCGGGTGTAGCAGATGTCCATGGGCGGCGGTATTCACTTACCATCGGGTGAACCGTCTGCTCATTTGGCAACTTTTCACATAAAAAAATAAGACATTTTTAACACCTTTTATTAACGCCAAACCGGAATATAACCGGCAGCGTCACAGACAATCACAACTGATACCATTTAATTTCGAAAGAACCACTCAGATGTAGCAGCAGGTTCAACTTAATTTCAATAAACAGTGCTCAACAGTGCAGCAAAGAAATGTCGCGTAAGAAAAAGGCAATGTAGGAATATGGTTCTAGCTCTGGGATCTAGCACCAGGCATCAGGAGATCAGGTTCGAGCGTCGTTCGAAGACTCCACGTCGCTGGAGCTGCTGGAGACGGACTTCTTGGGTTTATACTCCGTTATCACCACTGTCACACCGCTGACAGTAACCTGGTGGACGAGGCACGGTTAAGTGAAGACAGTTACGTGAATGTCTTCGGGCCTAGAAGCATTTAGTAGGCTCATACGGAGCCATCACGGCCTCCCAGAAGACCGGCGAAGTGTAGTTTGTGTTATACTTCTGCGCTACGTCAGCCGGGGCCCACTTTATTTAAAGGTGGCAACGCTTCTGCAACCCTACTAGAGTTACCAATATCAATAGGAAGCGATTGTCACTTAACATCAGCCCGTTTGCCACCTTCTCAAATATAAAAGTGGCATATTATACTTTCGGGTTTCGTGTGGTGAGGTAGCCGGGCCCAACTTTTTTATAGTTGGCAACGCATCTGTAATTGGATAATTATTTAAACATTTCTATGGACGGCGGTAATCACTTAACATGTGTGAACTGCCTGCTAACTGGCCATTTAGTTTCAAAAAAAATTACTTCTTTTACAATGGACAAACCAAATTAGGCTGGAACATTTTACTCAAAAACTTGAACTGAGCTCACAACACATTGAGAAAAAAATTGGACACTTTCAAAATTGGACAATTCTAGTAAGAATACTACAATGAAGTAACGCCTCGCATAGATATTAATCCGAATGCTCTTAATCATCATCATCATCATCATTTCAGCCTGTTTGAGTCCACGGCTGAACATAGGCCTCCCCCGTAGACTGCCATGAAGTACGATCCTGAGCCACCTGCATCCATCGACTTCCCGCTCATTTGCACTTGATAATATGTATTATTGCTAATAAGATCAACTTAGGAAATGTAATAACAAACAGAAAAAACACGTTTATATAAAATATCACGATCGTGCTCCCCAAGATAAACAAGAAACTCTGATATAAAATTAAACTGAAACTATTACTATGTGAACTACTAACTGAAACTATGTTTACGGCTCCTGTAATCAAAGAATCCGGATAAAAGAGATTGAGTAAGTTTGAGTAAGAGAAGTAGAAGAGTTTTCCAAAAGAGCAAATCTAGATTTATCTGACTTCCCAGAGGACATTAGTATTGTAAACCCATCCATAACAAAGTCCTTGTGTAACATAGCGACTTAGGAAAAAATATTTGCAATGACCCACAGAAAAGTGGCACTAATCCGTTAATTTGTAACGACTTACATAAAGAAAGAAAAGCGACAAATGCTTTCAACAACTCTTGCGATCTATAATTTTGTACATTGTTTTAAAGTATTTAAACATTTTTCAGTTCTAGTTGAAAGTCCATATTTTATGGGTCGAATCAAATATTTTTTCTAACAAAGTACAGAAGGCAGAAATACACTGGGCTCTACTTAAACATTTTTGGGCTCTAGGGAAAATTCCATAGTTTACGGGTCACATCAAGTTAATTTTCATAAATATCTTGTAACTTTATAAGTATTAATAATATAAGTCTGTAAACTAACTTTGGTAATGGGAGAATAAATGTTATTTTTTTGTTCTTGTTGTAGATTCGGAAGTATCACACAATTTCTTTTTCTTTTGCTGTACTTTATTAAGTTTGACTCCCATGACTGACATGACATTGGCAGAATTCTTTTAATAGAGGTCATTAATCAAAGAAGGAGAAGAAAAAGAACGTCAAGGTGCAGAAGGCAGAAAAACACTGTGCTCAACTTAAACATTTTTGGGCTCTAGCGGAAAGTCCACAGTTTATGGTACAAGTATAATATGGTAAAAATAAAATATCTTACGTCAAACACAAGGGAGAAAAGGTCTGCACCGAACTCAAACTAGAAATTGGTTTACCTCTCTGGTCTGCGCGGAGCTTCTGTCGACGTTGCTGAGCCGCGGCGGGTGGCGGCGCTTCTTCTTGTGCGAGTTCGCGGACCTGGGGCGCTTCTGTGAGCTGGTGGGCGCGGTGCCGGCCGCCTGGGCGGCCACCAGCGCGGGGTTGATGCGCGGCTTGCGGGTGGACGTGCCTAGCGAGGGATGGGCTTCGGTAAACAAGCTTCGCATTGCACCCCCCTATGATTTTTCCCGGACTGGTGGGGAGCAATAACGGAGGACTGCGGTATGGCGAGCCTCAGCTGGTCGAATGGATCGAAACGAACATTATTAAGGACTCGAAAAGGTTGGCGTGGTGTTCGCAATGCATCACCCATTGTTTTCAAACGTATTCAAATCAGGAAGTTTTTTTTTGTCTGTACCTCCTTTTGCATTGGAATCGGTTTAGCTCCCGTGTCGCCTCATACTAATTTCACTGGTATTGGACCTTTAACTCCGTAGATACCCAGGGAACTCCTCAAAATCAAATAGAATATCTATAGTGAGTGAGATATTTGAAGCCTACTTGGGTTTTTTTTACTTAAAATTATAAACAGACAATTGGGGAGGAGTAATGAAGGAACTGTGGTACGAACAGCTTAATCTGCTCGATTAGGTCAGACCGGCTGTTACAATGGCCTAAAAGATCAGCGTGTAGTGTTTATATCTTCACATTACACCCGGTGAGAGATGTATGAGGCACAAGCTTGAAGAGTCATCTCTTCAGGTATTAATAATCAAGTTAACTGTTCGCTCCCTTACCATCTCCTTGAATATAAAGTAAAGTAAAGTAACAGCCTATACATGTCCCACTGCTGGGCAAAGGCCTCCTCTATACAGAGGGTATCAGGGCATAGTCCACCACGCGGCCCCACTGCGGATTGGCGGACTACACATATCTTCGAAATATATATATTTTGTTATTATTTCGAAAATATGCAGGTTTCCTCACGATGTTTTCCTTCACCGCGGAGCACGTGATAAGTCAGCACTTAAAGTTAAAAACTTCATTGGTGCCGGCACCGGGGATCGAACTCAGGTTGCTCGAGTATATTGAATTATAGGCGAGCGCCCGGGCACTGAGCTATCCTTGAATATATTAATATATAATCAATACTTATATAAAATATGTATATAAGCGTCCTAGTAGCGACTAACACGAATTTCTACTAAATGAATCGTTACGTTATTACGAGTAGCAGTCTACGCTTATACCGTACTGCCTAAGCTTTTTACCGGTATCGTTCGCATGCGTCGCCCACGAGTCGTCTTCATCGACCCGGGAGGAAGAGGACGAAATTATCCCGCCCGAAAGCAATACATAGGCATAGAGTTAATGTACAATAGAATAGTTCGTCCTTTTCTACGAGCGCGGCGATACCAAGACATCGCGTACCTAAGGCACACCAGTACACCGCTCCCAGCGAACGAATAATACAAATAGTTATATAGTTGATAGCCGTCAATGTCAAGGTCTGCCTGCCACATGCATTTTATTAATGCACTCATGTCTATCGAAGTGATGGAAACGTAGCCTTTCTAAGAGCTCTACGAGAGCTGTGTGTAGTCTACGGAAAGCGCAAACATCTATCATGACATAGTCAAGACTCAATAGATACGTTATTATGTTCTGAGTGACATAGTATTATACGAACAAAATTAACGTGATGTTACGTCCAAAAAGTGGAGATCACAGGATTTATTCTTGTTTGTGACTTGACTACGTCTTTCGAGTATTTTATATTAGTCCTAGTCGGGTTACACCTTTTGTTACTACTAGTATTCTTATTTAATTATTGTTTATTATATGTATTTTTTTATTTAGTCGGATTGTTTGAACCGTTCCTTCTTTATTTAGATCGGCTTGTACTCGAGTACAATCACACCTGACATTATGCGCTAGTCCAATGCAAGTAGATTCACTCATCTCTCGAGAACGTAAGTTGGGGTATAACGCCTGGTTTCTGAAACCAGTGTTTCATCTTCTTAATTGATCATTCTGTTCATTAAGAAGATCATTCTGATCAATTCAGAGTGTTTAACCATCCTTTTGGCAGCTCAAATGACATTTGACAAGCCATTTGACAGCTGATTAGTTAATTTCTAGGATGATCAGTGTTTCAGAAACCGGGCGTCAGCGATACAAGTTTTGAAACATTTCAATTTTTTGAACCTTTCATTGATTTTATTTACCATGGGTGAATGATCACGGCACGGTGCGAAAATTTCGAGTGAAGTAGACAAAGGTTAAGCTTACTTCAAAATAAGATACCTTTCATTGATATACTTACTTAAAGACTTATTATGTTATATTACCATTCTCTGATTGATCACGGTTTTCTATTTTCTGTACTGTTTATAATATATTTCACACGGGTAAACTAGTATATCTGTATTGCGAACTAATCATTCACAAGAGACATCAACGAGAGTCACGGATCAGTATCGTTCGCTGCGCGAAAAGCTGCTTTTGAAATGGAAACCTTTATATAAATCGTCGTAAAAGTTTTGTCTAGCCGAGCCCGAGATTCATTACTCACTTCAATTCACATTAACTTCTTCATTCTTCTGATAAGGTTGTCCCACCTTTGTGGGGTCGTCACGACATCTGAATCGTGTTGTTAATCGTATTGGCTGTTTTTTTATGACCGGCCGCCTGCATGACGTCAACTCTCCTTGGGAACAAAAGCCCAGATTCGGAACAATTATCCGTGGCCCCGGCGTAGAAGCCAATGGCCTAGCAACTACTTGGCCTAGTATCACTGCACCACCGAGCCAGTTCACACTAACATGGTAGGTAAAAACTATCCAAATGGGATACACGCCGGCGCTATGACTTATCCATCAGCATGACTAATATGCAGGGTAATTCGCATCATCTTTGACGATCACACTTTGGTATTCGTGTTTGTATATGGAATGTTTAGGAAGAAAACTAATAACTACCTGATTACATACGACCGCACTAGCAGACTCCGAGTATCGCTTAAACAACACGTTAATTTCGATATTAACGTCGGACTAAATACTGAGTAACAGATAAGATTTTACATAAAAGTGGCAATTAATTCTTGACATCAGCAGTTTGTAACAGCGTACGAGTCTCGGATACCTCACTCAAAGCACGAAGTAAATGTTTTCTAGGGTCGCAAATTTCTTAATATAGTGAACAGTTTATTTTCACTTAAAATTAACATTTTCATAGGTGGCGACACCGGAGATCGAACTGAGGTTGCTCGACTACTATGTCGAATTAAAAGCCGGCGCCTTCACAAAGAGCTATCACGGCTCTGTTTCTTGCCTATGCTAGTTTAAGTAGGTTTTTTAGATAATAAAACTGCTCCATCTTCTAGATCATCAGACAAAAGCAGTTGAATCAAAAAAACTTCAGTTTAAAGACGGTCATACGTTAGGACCCGATAATTCCCCGGAAGAGTCAGTCGATAACTGCAGAGGGTATTGGGAGGGTATCCAAACTCAGCAAAGCTTGTACTATCGATACTATGTAACTGATAAAGATACTTAAACAGACTTTTTTTTTAAATAAATACATATTATAGATAAATAACCAGACACAAGAAAAACACTGCTCAGTTTTTCCAGTAGCGTGGATCGAACCCACACCCTGTAACGATAGAGACAGGTCCGCTATCCACTACGGCAATCGGGTCGTCATGTGCTGTCCGCCTTATCGCATAAAAACATAAATTGTATCAAAATGTATAAAGTAAAAGTGTATTAATAAAAATGAGGCGTCGGCCGTCTAGAAATACATTACATACCTACATACATGACTTTAAGAATTGTAAACAAATCGTGTATCCTATGTTTAGTAACATTAGCACACATCTGTTTGTAGACGAACAGGGTTGCCAAACAAAATGATTTATAGAATATTTTCCCATAAAATTAATGCAACAAATTGTATTAATTTTTCCAATGTATTTTTTTCCACGGCAGTTTCTCGTGTTCAGTGTTTTTGAGCTCTAAACGAAACAAACCAACCTAAAGATGAAACATTGATTGCTTTTAATTACTGACTTAAACTCTGTATTATGATTGTGTTTGCAAAAGTCGTTGAATCAACAACAAAGAAAGCTAGTTACCTTTTACTGAAAGCATTATCCTGTGTTGTCACATACATGAATATCACGAAAACTAATACCCAGATGTGAAACAATTATCTGTGGGTCACACAAATAGTTGACCCTTTTGGAAATTAAACCCTCGACACCCGGCGCCAAAGGCAATCAATACCTTGAAAACTGCACCACGGAGTTATCGTTACAGTAAAATTATGTTTGACCGAACTTTGACTTGGAATTTGTTCATTTTCGAAAAGTTAATTATTTTAGTAAATTTATCCTTACTTGTTTTGTTTTGTTCTTATCCTTTCTTTTTTATATCACAGCAAAGCGAAATCAACACATAACAGAACAAACAATTTCTAATTTGAATAACATTTTTTCAGTTAGAAATTTACCATTTGAGTTATCAAACATAAACTGTACTAAAATGTATAAAGTAATAATAACACGTAATAATTAAATAAGAAAATAACGCGAATAATCTCATGCTCTCTGTTGTTACCGCCGAACTTATTAAATTAGGATAGCCTGAGAAATTCGCTATAGCAGACGTTAAACGTAGCAGAGTGAGAAATAATTTCCACATAGTACAAATGAGCAAAGCTGACGTGTTTCTATACTAACCTTATCCATGTTACAAAAATCACTGTAGAGGTACGAGCACAACAAGAAAGTTACTAATTGTCAAGATTGGTATTAAACAATAGTGGTACATCCTACAAAGCTTCAGGCATCTGCCTAACCCTTTGCATCAAAGGATGCGAGATGTTATTATTGACACTACTCTGGTAAAAAAATTCAAGAACATTGTATTTTGGAACAGCAGTTGACAACCCTGAATACATTGAAACGCAGTGTCGTAATGGCCGTAGAAAACAGTGTAACGTAGCCATTTTTAAACAGACACAACGTGGCTAAGATTTATTTATTACAGAATTTTTAAATATTTGCCGAACTTATTTAGGTTAAATATAGAGTACGGTGTAAGAGGCAGCGGCGACACAGAAACATACATAATTTGCCGTAACAGCTCAGTGTCCGGGCGCTCGCCTTTAATTCAATATACTCGAGCAACCTGAGTTCGATCCAATGAAAATGTTGATTTAAAGTGAGAACATCGTGAGAAAACCTCAATGTTTCCATTCACCGCAATATATTTCTATGGTGTAAAGTCCGCAAATCCGCAATGGGGCCGCGTGGAATATGCCCTGATACCCTCTGTATAGGGTAGGGCCTGTTCCCAGCAGTAGGACATATATAGGTTGTTACTTTAGTTTATTTTTATACATAATTTCCGAATATTAGGAAAAGGTATGGAAAGAATACGGTGTTACGGACAGCGGTGATGGTATGGAGGCTTGGACGTTAGACTTTCGACGTAAAGGTCACAGGTTCGAACCCTAGTAGAGTGCGAAATTGATCTTTCGCAACTTGTGATTACCTAATGCAAAAACCTATTATTTTAACTAAATACGCTTGGTGTAAACAGAATTAAATATCTACCTCATTAGGGTTTAAGAACGACGCCTAAGTACGTGTTATTACATTAAAAAGATAACTAGTTATTAAGAAAAAAGGGTAGTGTTTTCTTTTTTTAAGTTATCTTTTAAATCGCAAGTCGCAATACGCCAGTAAAAAAAAGAAGTTTTTTTTTATTTTAATTATTAAATAAAATTGTTGTTTAACATTTTATGCTTACTAGCGCAAAAACATCGCAATTTTTGATGCGATGTTATTGTTCGGACATCGACAGCAAGCCATTCACATTGATATCAATATTTCCAATACCGCTCAACCTTATCAACACTACTTAAAAGTGCCGGTGTAAAAAGCTGGTTCCGTATTTGGAATTGTAATAAATTTCATCACCTAACGGGATATCAAACACTATTATGAACGGCTACGGCGTAGATACGACTTGTACCGCTTTTACAAATAACCACAACATTCTTAGAGAAACGGGATAATCTAACATAAATAACTCCATATCACAAGCACCTCTGTAACATAGCAAGAATGTTATATGCATATTGCATACGTCAGTGAGGTCAACGAATTATAACCAGACATGTTTCAGAAGTATAAGCCAATTTAAATAAGCCGTCATTGAAAATGACTATTCAAATTGGATGGTTCATAAGCGACACTAGCGCTAATTCGCCGCGAGCATTTTATGAACTAATTTTATTTGGATAATTTGTTTACCTACCTATGTAAGACATTCGGAGTTCAAATGAAACTATTTGAACCTATTTAGTAAGAAATAAAGTAGGTGAACCTTACTTATAAAATTTTACATTAATAAAACAATTCACATACTAGTTAAACCTTTTTTTAAAACATGCTATTTATTCAGATTAGTAAAATTATAAAATGTTTCATGGTAACAGAGTATACAGCTAGCTGGAGCTCGAATATAGTCTGTGACCAAATTAGACAACAAAAAAAGCAAAAAACTCACTAATCACTAGCAAACGTACCAACTTATGCATTATGCACGTATTCGAATGTGAATACGAAATAAACTTATATTGCGTAGTGCTTCTATAGTTATAAACATTTTTGTAATACAATAGGCGCACCGTTATTTTTACTTATATCTAAATCAAAAACCAGCTTACTAGCCCTTGGAACGACCTAAAATACTGAAGGACTTTAGGTCAATGTTCCATTTGCATACAGAGGACATTAGGGGTTAATGTATGAGTAAACAATTATATTTACCTTTTCTGACGTCGCACATTGAACATTTGAAGGCCTCCGCGTTATTTCTGTATGTGCAGACACTACAATCCCAATAATTTTCTTCCAACGCCTTCGAGGGCCTCTTTGCCCTCCGAATAGCATTTTTCTTGTCCATTGTCACGTATATTCGAACTAATAATCATTAATCATGATACTTTAGAATAGCCACAGTAGTTCTTAATGCACATATAACATGTTTTCCGTCTAAGAATCATTATTTATGTTTTGCCGTGCACAGAAACGTACACCACAATACGCCATGACAGCTCGTCAGTGCCGCTTGGGTAAAACAGCACTGGCGCCACTTGCCATACCACTGCTTTATCGACTTTATCACAGATAATTATTACATGGACATGAGACAGTAAATATGTAATTAATTATTATTGTGTTTCTTCGTTATAAAATCGTAATAAAAATTACAAAAAGTAAACGACTTTATTTCATAGATTCTATATTTTTTTTTAGAGAGATAACAGCGTAAGGCAAAAAAACTGTTTAGTTGAGATTGAGAATTCTGTGTTTATAGTAATGAAAATAAGTTTTGTACATGTTACTGTAAAAAAGGGTCCTGTTTAATTCAATAATAATTTCCATTGAGTTGCAAATTTACTAAAAAGACAAAGTTTTTAGAACTAATCTTTTAAAAATTTTGACTTCTTAGTAAATTTTTGACTTTAAGTTATTTGGACTAAAGTAATAAATCATGCAGATTATATGATTGACAACCAGGAGGATTCTTGAACGTCAGGAAATAATCCCTTTAATTAATAAGCAAACTCGAGTGCAAATGATGCCATTTCTGCAATGTGACATAGTTCATTAGATTTATGTACAATAGTTCCATAGAAATTATATGTTTAGGAAGAATGTTTAGCCTTTATGCCTTTTGCAACTGAAATCGTTGCTTAATGCTTGAGAATTATCATGTATGAAGTCAACTGCCTCAGTCAAGTGTCATCTTTTCAGGCTATTTTTAACCTACTTAACTCTCTTGACTACTGTGACTTAAAATCTCGCACACCAGGTACCACTTGCGATGCGGAACCGTGCGTGTCAGACATATTTTTATAAATTAGCTAAGACTAGCATCTTAACATGCGATTTTTATTTTTACACGGCATGAAAGCAAATTATGTAATAACTTTTCAAAGTAATAAGTTGTTCACCTACTTTTTAAATATATATAAAGATAATTTTTATGCAAGAATAATTGATTACCGAAACATTAACGTACGGTTAAGAAGCCGTATTTTGTTTTTCTATAATATCATTCGCTACTATATTTTGAGAATATATCCTGCTCTTTTTATGTCATAATATACAGCGTGTCGTTACCATCGCGACAATAAATGAACACACATATAGGGGATAACTTTTTAAAGTTGTATTAAACATTTAAATTCTTTAAACATCAATATTTACAGAGTTATTAAATTTTCCACAACAAATAATTTTAGAACACCCTCGCCTATAAAAGCGTAACGTAAAGTTCGTCTGTAAAGGTCACAAAGCATATGAATGGCTTGAATGAATTTAAAAGAGACAAAACATACTGTTAGAAGGAGCGGCTTGTAATACGACGCTGTGGCGCGAGTTGTATAGGATGTTACAAATTTTGTTTCTTTTTTACTTAATTAGTTTGTTAGAAAAATATTTTTTTTTAATTATGGATTTTGTTTAACGTTAATATTTTTTTTATGATTATTGGCACGTAGCGTTAGACGTGTGTTCATTTATTGTCGCGATGGTAACGACACGCTGTATATGTGCGGTATACATACAGCGTGTCGTTACAACCGCGACAATAAATGAACACACATATAGAGGAAAACTTTTTAAAATAGTATTAAGCATTAACATTCTTTAAACATCAATATTTACCGAGTTATTAAATTTTACATAACAAACATTTTAAGAACATCCTTACGTATAAGTGTAAAGTAAAGTTCATTTGTAAAGGTCACAAAGCATATGAATGGGTTTATGAATTTAAAAGAGATAAAACATGCTGTTAGAAGGAGAGACTTGTAATGCGACGTTTTGACAACGAATGAAAAAGTCTCTGAATGTATGAATCAGTCAGTTGTAGTTGTATAGGATGTTACAAATTTTGTTTCTTTTTTATTTAATTAGTTTGTTTGAAAAACATTTTTTTTAATTATGGATTTTTTAACTTTTTATATTTTTTATGATTATAGGCAAGTAGCGTAAGACGTGTGTTCATTTATTGTCGCGGTTGTAACGATACGCTGTATAAATAGGTAAATGAAATTTCTTAAATGTACAAATATGTACATTATCAATGAAAGCGTTTTTAAAAGTAAAAGCAACTTGACATAAAATGTCTTATAATTTTCTTTTAATTACTTACGAAAGTAGTGGAGTCGGCTTGTGGCCCTGGATGTTATAATGGATGGATGTCGCATATAAAACAAATTTAATTACTTCAAAGTCACTACCATTTTAATAGGACATTTAGCACCAAGTACGTTTACGTGCCGTATTATTTATGCTCTTAACTTATTCTAAAAGTACTGGTAGAGGGAAAAGGCATTTACGACTATGATCAATAAAAAAAAACGATGATATAAATAATAAGAAAGTGATTTTATTAATAATCTAAATTTGATAAGTAAACCCAGCGGGATCCTCTTTATTAAAAAGCACATAAAATTAAATTGTCCTTCACAGTTTACATTGCGTTAAATGCTTATTTATGTAGTAGGTACGTAAGCTTCTGACATTCGTAACTCGTATGTCAACTATCATATAGAGCGTTGAAATAAATTTAAGTGCATCATGAAGCACGTTGTCTCGCCTTGTGTAAAATACACACAACCTAGACATTTAGATTTTTATTTTAACGGAAAAATATTTATTTAGTACTTACTACCTAAAACCTACGTCGTGTTTTTTTTAATTAAACTATTTAAAATTAAAGAAAACTCAGTGTCTTCGTTCAGTGTCGGCAACCTTGGTTCAAGTCCCAGGGCGAACACCAATGAAATTGTTGATATTAAATGCTGAGTCATCGGTTTAGAGAAGTTTATTTCTTAATGAAAATTTTGTTGAAATTTGATTAAAATATTGCTGAGCATCAAATAACACGTGCTCATCGTTAAAGTAGATCATGGTGAAATAAAAAAAAAAAAGAAAATTTGTGAATTCTGCCAATCCGCAGTGAGTTCACAAGGTAGACTATGCCCGAATGTAACTTTACATTTTTTTAGGTTGCCATTAAACAACATAAAAAAACAGGACAGCAATTTTCACTTTTTTTTATTTATTTATTTAAGAGTCGTAATAGCTCAGTGTCCGAGCGCTCGCCTTTAATTCAATATACTCGAGCAACCTGAGTTCGATCCCCGGTGCCGGCACCAATGTAGTTTTTAACTTTAATTGCTGACTTATCACGTGCTTCGCGATGAAGGAAAACATCGTGAGGAAACCTGCATATTTTCGAAATAATAACAAAAAAAAATATTTCGAAGATATGTGAAGTCCGCCAATCCGCAGTGGGGCCGAGTGGTGGACTATGCCGTACCCTCTATATAGAGGAGGCCTTTGCCCAGCAGTGGGACATGTATAGGCTGTTACTTTACTTTACTTTACTTTACTTTACTTTATGACTTATTGTCACAAAAACTCATTTAAATCGAAAATAAATTTAAACAAAAACTTATTTTAGTTTCTCGTGCAAAATAACCTAAAAATGTGTAATTTAAGTAAACTAAAAACAAAATGTAACGAACGGGTCTTAACAACGATTGAAATAACACGTTAATGCTGCTTTGTTGAGTATTTTTGAAGCCATAGTTGGTCAACACATCGCCAACGGTATGTGAAATCTGCACATCCGCTGTATAGTCACTGACGGTTCTTTTTTTTTAAAGTGAGGCGCGGGAGATCAAATGCATCGTGTCCAGTCCAGTTGTTACAGCATGTCTGCTTCTATCTGACCGATTTATTACCTCGTCGTCGGTTATTACCCGTTATACTAAAAAACTTAGTAATGAATTTATAAATTTGTCATTTTCTCTTTTGTATACGGTCGACTTTCAATTCGTATTTTAATATCTCTTTTATTATTTAATTCAACGATAAATTCATACAACCCAATCTGACATATTTTTATGTGTGATATATTAATTATGTTTTTTAAACTGTGATATTTATTTTCGACTTTGAGTGTTATTGCTATGGAGTTTATAATTAATAAATTGATAATTAACAATAGAAACACTACAACGCCGCATTTATGGTATAAAAGATATAAAAAGAGTACAAAAATAATCACGAAAATATTACGTATCGTAAAAACATTAGGTATTTGTATGTTTTACGAAATAAATCGATTACAACGAAGTAGAATCTGTACACGATTAGGGCATGCCGAAATAAAGCATTCAGAGATTCGGAGAAAAGTTTTTGTTCATAGTGAAAGTAGAATGATTTCAATTTCTTTTTGCTTAAAGTCTAAAATAGAACGCCGTCAAACTGAGGAAAGTAACATGACAAGGGCAAAAAATTCTTATAAAGGTTTGTAGAAGCGAAATTCTCAGAAATACCGATCCCTTTTTTTCATCCTCGTCTATGTGAATTTCTTTCGACTACCTGGAGCCGTTTTTGTCAGTGGATTTAAGGTTAGTTTTCAAAAGTCTCTATTTAGCTCAAGATTTCTGGCCGACGAACGTTGTGATATTCGTAAGAACTAAAAAGGCCGTAATCAGATGATTCGTAAAAAATAAACAACAAATGACAATTTCTCGCCAAATACCTTTTGTAAAGGAATAAAATAAAATTATATAACTCAATAAAAAAAACTATTTATTTCACCTTTGAACGCGTAAGTTACATTTAACAATGTCAAATTTAACACTTCACTTGTCTACAAGGTAAAGAACGCATATTTTCTTTTTAATATTAAATCTTACCAATGTTAGCCAACATGGTCAACTTTTTTCTGTTTCAAATATTGTGATTTCTAGCAAGAAATACTGCTAAAGGTATAAAATAAAGCTGAAAGGCAAATTACAATAATAGAGAATTTTACTAGTTTTTGTCATTAACCTTTCACCCAACTATTCGGGGGCATATTTACTTTTTATAATATCACAACATTAGAAAGGTTACATAAGTTATTATGAGTCTGAAAAATAGCCTATTTCAACAATCAATTTATACCACTACGAAATAAATTGCGTACACGGCAGTCAACGAGATTCAATAGAGCCAATAAATTCCCGCCATTTTAGAAATAACAGCGACCGACGTGCTAGTCATAGACACGCGCACCTTTTAAATTTTTCGTTTTCGTGCGGAAACTTGCATAAACGGCGGTATTTTGCCATGCTTCGTTAGTCAACATGATCTGTTCTACTTGGTGCTTCGGTTTTCAAACGCAACGGGGGTAACGATTTTATATTGTGCAACGTACAAAATAATTTTCATCACCTTGTTATCATGACGGGTACATTGAACACAATTATGTGACCATTTCACTCAAGGATTTCGAAAAACGCAAAATTCATTGGTTCACGCCACTTGGATTCGAACTCATAATCTTAAGGTCAATGCCGGTGTCTGAGCGACTATGGCATATCTATTTTAATTTGTGACTAAAGAGCTAAACTACTTTTCTGAAACTATTTAAAGGCTAAATTCATATATCACGATGTTTTATTCTTGATCCGAGTTGTACATCGTATTGAGTAGCGCGAAATACGACCAAGCCGTACTAATTATCTGTAATTAACGAGAACAAACATTACTTAGATGGATTCCAACGTATCAATTAAAATAACCGTCTAGAAGAAAATAAGATTGCTCGAATTTGCAGGTTTAGGTCGTACTGTCGACTTGACTGGCTGGTTTTATTTAAACGAAAATTTTCAGTGGCATCTTAGTATTCGAGTCGCAACAAGTTCACAACATAGCACGTCAATTTAATAGGGTAAAAATTCAAGGTCGTACCGCGTAACAGTAGTGCTTCGTCACTCAGAGAAAACAAGAAGAGAGACAGATAGTGTAAAAGAATGAGACGGAGTATATTGCACAGCTAAGATCGCGCGGGAAAAATGATTGACCGATTTCACGTGCACTGAATTGTATCAGTTTTTTTTGAAGCTTGCATTCTCAGTAACTATGAATGTAAGGTTTAACACAGGAAGGCTGGGAACTCCGTGAAAACTTTTATATAAACTTTAAAACTTCATTAAAAAGTAAAAAAATCTGCAGATAATTTGCTCGATACTTTTGTTAATAGAATGATAGCTGATGCTAAATCTTACCTTGGTGAATGATCTGAGATTGACGTCGGCGAAGCCTAAGGCAGTCAACTTGCAGGGTTTCTGGGCTCTAAATGAGAAGTCATACTATCTTATTTCGTTATTTATTATTATTAACATTAGTTTGTCTCTTTGACCTTTGTATGTGTCTCTTGTACTTAAAGAAAACAAAAAAGATCTATAGAAATTAATAAAGGTCTCACCGAAGGTCCTCAGTGTAACAGAAGTCTTTAGTGTAAAAGTGATTGCTTCAACTAATAAGCCTTGTTTAAACAAAACCATTTAGACCACAGTACTAATATTACTACTAATATTGCACTTCGACCTTTGGAAAGAGACAATCGGCTAATTTCGGTTTTGTAAAGCGTTTGTCATTTGACGATTGTCATCTGTCAGTCGTAGGAATAGGAACACAATGATTATAAATTCAATAAAAAAGATAGTTTCGGTGTCACCACCTGCGTATGATGCTATAATGTATATTAAATCCATGTACAAGAAAACGGTTGCTCATTTTACGTAATTCGGGGAGAAGACAAAGGTAGGATAAATAAAGTAAGACAAAATAAATAATAAATAACAAAAAAGCTGATGATGGAACAGGCTTAACAATAACAGTTTGATACAATGATCATTTAAAACAAATTTAACGTGCAAAATATCTCTTAATTACATTTTTTTACAAAAAAAACGTTTGATAAAAAGAAGAAGAAAAGGGAAGCCAAAGCTAATTTGGCTTCCCTTCTGCTTGGCTTATTAATATTTTCGGTTGTCCGCACCTTCGAATAGATATTGCTTAATTTAAGCCAGACATTTAGCTATTTTTGTTTTTATTTGTCATCTCTAACTCAACACCCAACTCACTTACCGGACGTAACGCATAAACGTAAGAACTTTTAAGTAAAAGGAAGAAGGTGCCAAGTCGTAGTCTTCTGTGTGCGAATTCCCTGGTTTTGGTGGTTTCTTCGAGCATCTGGAGCTGTCATATAAGATGTGGTTCTACCACGTGCCACTTTACCACAGCTTAACAGTGTTCTCTGTAACTCGAATGGCAGGTCCGTCCAGGTAAGTACCACGACCTCACAGAAAACCGGTGTGAAGTGGAAGTCCCTTCTGCATTTCGTCTGGTGAGTGAGGTATCCGTGCCCACTTTATTATAAGGTAGCGACGCATGTACAACCCTACGGGTGTTGAAATCCGTCCGATAGGTACGCCAGCAATGCTGGACGAAGAGAAGGCCGAATGCCTGGCTGACAGCCTAGAGTCTCAATGCTCCTCCAGTCTGCTTCCGATCGACCCCGAACACCTCCGCAAGGTGAACGAAGAGGTAGAAAGAAAGCTTTAGAGCCACTTCGCGATCCCGTTCCCCCGGTCACGTGCCTAGAACTAGTAGAGACTATCAAAAAACTACGCCCCCGTAAAGCACCAGGCTCAGATGAAATCACCAATAAGGTGACCAAGCTCCTCCCTACTAGCATCCTTCAGATACTAGTATTAATTTACAATGCGGCCTTAACCGAAGGCTTCTTCCCATCCGAGTGGAAGGAAGCCGATGTCATAGGGTTCCTCAAACCCTCTAAACCCGCCACTCTCCCAACCTCATATCGTCCAATAAGTCTTCTCAAAACATTTGGGAAGATCTTTGAAAGACTAATATTAGCCCGCTTAAGATCCCTTATGGACACCAAAGGGCTCCCCATCGCAGAGCAGTTTGGATTCAGAGCCAAACACTCATGTACCCACCAAGTGCACCGCATCACGGAGCACATTTTAACCAAACGCCAACGTGCATTAAACACCGGTACACTCTTCCTGGACGTGGCAAAAGCGTTCGACAAAGTCTGGCACAACGGGCTCGTATACAAGCTATACGGGTACGGAGTGCCTGACCGTCTCGTATGCATAATCGAGACTTCCTAAGTAATCGAACCTTTCGCTATCGCGTCGAGGGCGTGTGTTCGACTACGCATCCCGTTCGAGCCGGGGGGTGCCCCAAGGGTCGGTGTTGGGCCCAGTCTTGTTCACTCTCTACACCAATGACATGCCGCGTGTCAAAGATGTAGAACTTGCTCTTTTTGCCGACGACACCTGTATCTATACCACAGGCAGAACACCCGAATTGATCCATCGACGCCTCCAAGCTGCGGCCATCACCATCGGTGACTGGTTTCGGCAATGGAGGATCGAAATAAATCCAGCCAAAAGCGCGACAGTCCTTTTCGCGCACAAAAAGAACATACCCATTCCACGCCCCGTTAAACTCTTGGACAGCCTAGTACCATGGGTTAATAAAGTCAAATATCTAGGCGTCGTCCTCGACTCCCAGCTTAAATTCCCCCAGCACGTGACCCAGGTCAGGAACCGGGCGGCCTTCGTACTCGGTCGCCTCTACCCGCTCCTCAATAAAACGTCAAAAATGTCCATTCGGAACAAGGTGACCTTATATAAGGCAGTAGTTTCGCCCTATCATGACGTACGCGAGCCCCGTCTTCGCTCACATTGCTCCGAAGCAAATACACCGGCTTCAGGTGATTCAAAATCGATTCTTGCGCAGAGCCACGGGAGCACCCTGGTTCATGCGCAATATCGACCTACATGTCGATCTAGAATTGCCCACCATAGCGCAGTTCCTAAATATTTCGATTCCGCCGCCGCGCATCCCAACCCACTTATCGTAGGTGCCGTCACCTACAGGCCCTTGCCGCTAAATATTTTCCGCCGCGATTACCGAAGACCGCGTCACGTTCTCGACTTCCCTGACGATGAGACGACTATCGCCATCGAAAGGATCAAAAAACTCAAGAAACACACCAACACACACCGCACTCGCCGGCGAGTGCGGCAAACATATACTAGGTTCCGCCACGTACCTGGCAGGTTTTCCCCTATTAATGATAGAAGCGTTGCTGGGGTTTCTTCCGCCACTTTTTCTCCCAGCGCCAACGCTCTCCGAAGTGGTAGTAATGTTAGCTCTAGTAATTCCCTCAGTCAGATAATAGCTACTGATTGAGCCGAGGTCCGACCCTCTCGGGCACCCTCGAATCGGAATGCTAAACGTGTGCTGAGTGACAGCCCAAGCCGAGGTCCCCTCTCTGGGACCCTTGAGCCTGGTCACTCCATGGAGCGTCCGCCAAAGCGCCCTAAGAGCTTGGCCGCCTCCCAAACCGGTAATAATAATAGCGTGACGGCCCGAGCCGAGGCTCCCCCGGGAGCCCTCGAGCTTAGTCACCATAACGCGTAATAATAGTACGCAGAGGTTCAGGCTAGGCGCCTCGTGCGCCAGGCCACCTCAAGTCCGTCGGATCTGTAAAGGCTCCTAAGGCCAACAGTGGCTCATCCAACCCAAAAAAAAAAAAAAAAAAAAAAGGGTGTTGAAATGTCTATGGGCGGTGGTTGCCACTTACCATTAGGTTTACAGTCAGCTGGCCTGCCACCTTCTAATATAAAAAAAAAAAATCTGCCCCTTCTATTTGTACAAAAAAAATATATTTCGAAGATATGTGAAGTCCGCCAATCCGCAGTGCCGCGTGGTGGACTATGCCCTGATACCCTCTGTATAGAGGAGGCCTTTGCCCAGCAGTGGGACATGTATAGGCTGTTACTTTACTTTTGCATGGCAAGCGAGCAGGTGGTTCGTCTGACGTTAAGAAATTACCGTCTCACATTGATATTACAACAACTGAGGGTTCGGAGAATCATTGTCAACATTTAAAAGTATCGACCCTGGTTAGACGAAATGCAAAAAGTATAAACTACAAACTGATCACTGAACTGCGGGGCCGTGATGCTCATCCTGATATTAGTGCGACAGCAGAAGTGGCCTTACACTGCAAAACTATATCCTGCTCTTTCAATAAGAATTTTCTTACTTCTTGACATTTATTATATAGTTCTAGCCGAAATCTTTGGCAATTGTTTATACAGTATACTATGTATAATATGTTTAGCTATCATTAATCCAAAACAACATGGGCTAGCTAATTTTACTGTATTCTTTACCTGATTTGAACTAAAAGCAAATCTCTCCCCACTTTTTCGCCTGCTTCGTACCACAGACTGTTGTAAACAGCGTCGCTTACCCCAAGACTCTGAAATTAAAATCAAAATACCGGTTTGAGCGCACGGCTTCCGTTAGCACCTGATGCAACGGTTTAAACGGTTTTATTAAACACGCATTCCCGTTTACTTACCGACCTCATTATCATGTCACCAAAGAGGCACAAAAAGAATATTTGGAGGAGACTCATGAAGAGGAACGTTAGAAAAGTAACCGCGAACGCCACGTTGTTTATGGCCTGCAAGACAAAATGGCGGTTAAAGGAATAATTATTGTTTGTTAAAACGGAGTCGGGAATTTAAAAATTATGTCAAAAATTTTATATTTTCTACATCATTTGTGTTCTCGTGAAACTAGAGTTTGGAATTACTATTTACACTCATGATAAAAAAAACCTTAGTTAAAAAAAGATATGTCACAGCTGTTAGAACACGTCAAGGTGAACTTGAAGATTTGAATTTTTTTCTCAATTTGTTAATACTTATTTGTCATGATATTGTGCCATTGCGGATATTATCAAATTAAGTACAAAAGTATTTTACAAAGTGATGATTAGTATTTTCTGTTAGTTTCCATTTGTGTAACCCATAAGAGCTCAGTGTTCGAGCGTTCGCTTTTAATTTCTATATACCTAAGCAAGCTGTGCCCAAATTCAGATGTTAATTGGAATATTAACTGTTAATTTATCACGCGCTCAACGATGATGGAAATCATCGTGATAAACCTGCATGGATCCGAAATAGTACAAAAAAATATTACGAGACATTCTGTGGTCGGGTAGCGTGGTGGTCTATGCCTTACTACCCTTTGCACAGAGGAGGCCTTTGCCCAGCAGCGGTATTATTACGGCGTTTACGAAGTTCATGAATTATTTTACGAATTTTTCTTTGATTTGCTATTCTTTATAAGGCAATGGTTAGTGTATTGTGTCATCCCACTGTCTACGTACCGTTACATTGAATCCAGTGAGGCAGATAATCACCGAGCTCGACACAAAGTTGAATAATGTCGACTTCGAGTAGATGACTTCCAAAGTATTTGCAGTACTGAAACGTAGGGCGTCCTAAATAAATACTACTAATAATAAATAAGGTTTTAATTTAGGTTTTAGTAAGTATAGTAAGTAAGAATCATGATATTTAACAAAACTGTTGTTTATTAATTTCCACCGCTCGTGTAAATCTAAAACACCTGTGTATTTGCCTTTTAAATTACTCATCCGTTTTTATTATGACAAAAGTTTTCTAGCGAGCAGCCAGTTCAGCTGATGTTAAGTGATTATCGTTTTTTCATGACATCTACAACACCTACGGGCTTGCTTTGGGCTGATGCGTCGTCAACCTTAAAAACTCGAAACTATAATACTTCCACATCACACCGGTCTTCTGCGACGCCGTGGTACTGCCTCTACGGCCCTGCCCATTCATGTTTTGGGGCCCTACCACATTAAGGAGTAACCAACCTTTATGGATTTCATGCTGGTTATCTCATTTATCCGACGAAATACAAAACTGTAATACTTACACTTCACACGGGTCTTTCGATGCTTCATAGCTTTCACTCAATCATATATAGCGACCGATACCCGAATCCGTAATGGTTAAATCAAGAGCATATAATAGCAAAATACATTGATAGTAATTATTGCAGTGGAGGGTACTGCTAGAACTACGTACACCGTGCTCCCAGGTTTTTACAATCTTCTTATTTCTACTTGTTACTACCATAATTCTTAAAATAACTCACTTGACTAGTCTCTGGTGCCGCTTAGTTAATCTTATATAAGCATTCCTAAGGCTTTCGTTTGCGTTCGGTCCACGCAAACCTGGATCGGGAACCAACAATTCGAATTCACCCGCTAGTATACGAAACTGTATCCTATGATACAACGAAAGTTTGTTTTTAATGTTAACTGTCCACGCAGAAGTCACTAAATAATAAAAAGTTATTTCAATTTCCCATTATTAAAATTATACTTTTAAGTATAATTTTTAAAATGGGAAATTGAAATTGTCAACAAATCTGATATTTTATTACTTAGACATCAATTAAAATTAGCTAGGTCAATTAAATAAAAAAAAATATACGCTTTAATGTGAGAAAGTGCCATACGAACTGACCGTTCAACAGATGTTAAGTGATAAACGCCCAGGACACTTGCAACACCCGTAGCGTTGCTACTTTTTAATAAAGTGAGCCCGGGCTACCTCACTCATCAGAAGAAACGTACAAGTGTAACACTTTTACTTCACCATGGTCTTCAGTGAGGTCGTGGTACTTACCCGGACGAATCTGCTCATTAGTGCAACAGCGAATACTATTGCGTGGCAATAACGCGCTGCAAAAATTTTTACATTATTCTAAACAAACAGATTAAAATATAGATAATAACGACTACAGCATCATCAATAAATACCTAATGGTTGTACAGCAAATGTAGTAAACGTAGTCCGCAGCACAAATTTCCAAAAGAACAATGCATTCTGAAATGTAAAGTGGGATTGAAGCTTGGTTTAATACAATTCCGCATTTTCAACCGACTTAAAAAAAAGGAGGAAACTCACAAACTGCTTTTGACAAGTGTTTCACAATTGTTTGCTACCTCAAAACTCTCTTGTATCTTGTGTAAGATCCGATTTAAAAAATAAATAAGTATATAGGACCTTGGAATCCAGATATACGTTAATCGACGTAAAATAAAAAAATTAAAGTAAGTGAAATATTTAAAGTTGGTTGTGAGTTTAGTAAAGAAATAATATGATGTTTAACATACTGAACGGGAGCAATTATTTTAATTGAATTTACCTGACCAAATCTGTTTTATATACACGAAAGGCCAGTATCGTATATCAAGAGGGTCGAAAGGATAGACGTCGAGAAACGGAAGAATCAACTCGACCTCCTTCGTGCGTACATATTTAATTGCGATTAAAATCAACGGGCCGAATGTAAAATTTACGACCATGCCGACATTTAAAACGTTCAAGAGGTTAATCACGAAATTAAGGAACCTCCTCTCCTGCCTCTCAATTTTCTCTTTATTGCCAACTCGGCTGTTAACCGAGGCCTTCTCTAATGTTGCCAGCTCTTCGATCAGCCTTTCGACGTGCTCTCCATACACGATCAGATAAATAGATTTTATGCTGGCAACACCGCTAAGCGTCGCGCACGGCGCCAAATAGGTTATCTGCGTCATATCCGTCCCGTTTTGAACGGAATCGATAATCCAGAACATCGCGCCGATTATATCGCTGTTTAGCCAAATGAAATTGAAAATGAAGACACATCGGTCCTTAATTCGCGCCAAACGGTCACTTTTGCTGGGTTCTATATTCAAACCGGTGCAGAGTAAAATATATTTGAGACGTTGAAGAGCATCGAGCAACGGAAGGGTTCCGTTCCTCATCTTGTCTATGATTCGAATGTCCAGAAAATAGGGCCTCGATTCGATACCATATCAAGTCGAATTGATCTTAAATTATTTAGAAAATCAACTGATTCGTTGAACGGCTGTTCGTTGTAACACCGCGGTAAAGTTTAATGATGTATTATTTAGTATGTCGGTTCATATACAGGTTGTTAAAATAATATTTATTTTCTTTATTTTAACAACCATATTATCTTTTATGACCATATTATCTATTATGAAACGTTTCATCGATCTATAGATATTTAGTGTAATTGGGACTGATAACAAGCTTGGGTTGTTTGCTTTTTTAAAGAGGTCATCAAGATTGAACTTTAAATAGTTTGTTCAACATGCGCATGCTAAACAAAATTGATCATGTTGCTATTTTTAAGCGGACACTCGTCGAGGAATTTTTTGAAGATACTCTATTTTCCGGGGAACACATGGCTAAGTGAATTCGAAAAAAGTCCGTTAAAATACAATTATTTCAGCACATTCTTAGCGATTTAGAGATTTACTTTCCCTTTTATAGCTGTACCAAGGAAATTGCGGATCTTTTACCTACGTTGGCGTGAATATGTTTTTTTTATCAGAGAAAGTTGCAAACGAGATGGCGGTTCACATGATGTTAAGTGATAACCGCCGCACATGGACATTTGGGACACCCGTAGGATTGTAGATGCGTTGCCACCTTTAAATAAAGTGGGCCCCGGCTACCTCACTCACTAGACGAAACGCAGAAGTGTAACACTTCTACTTTACGCCGGTCTTCTGTGAAGTCGTGGTACTTACCCGGACGGACCTGCCCATTCGTGCAACAGTGAGCAGTGTTGCGTGGTTCTACCACAGTAAATTATCCCCAATTCCCTCACCACCTTACGGCGACACGGAACCACGTCGCGCTGCAGGCCCCGAAAATTCTCTAGGTCTCCATCACAATCACATTGGAATCCAGTGTCCGCTTCAGACAGGTCCTTTTGTCAACTTGAATCCTACTAGTAATTAGTAGGCTAATCTCTAAACCTTAAGGCATCCTGTAGTCTGCAGTATAGACGACTGCAGCTAGTTTAGTAGGCAACTTAGTGAATATAATTTCATACTAACTCAGCAACTTGTTAGTAATTGCCGGGTGCACATAATAATTTAGAGAGTACACTACTTTCATAGAAATTTAATTTTAAACGACAAACTTTCGGACTTTCATTACAGATTAAAGGTATATCTTCAAAATAACGTTATTACAAAATGTGAATAAAGTATTGTAATATTGTAATTGCCAAATTTATTTTATAACCACTTCATGTCGAAATTCCTGAACAGATTCCATTCAATATTTTTAAGGGAGATAGTTCAAAATATGTAATTTTTTTAATTTTGAAATTAAAAATATCATTAAAAAAAACAAAGGCATGCGTAAGATTTATTATTCTGTAAATCATTGCAATATATGATATACGTTGAAGAAACAAATCTATTCTAATAATACTTAAAAAGAGGAAAGATTTGTATGTTTGTAAGGAATTTAATAACTCTAAAACTACTGGAACGATTTCAATAGTTATTTCACTATTATTAGAATGCTACATTATCCTTGAGTAAAAAAGACTATATTAATAACTAAACTAAATTATAGAACCATAATAAAACTTCCATGATATAAACCACGTCGTAAAAAATAAATTTCCACCAGTGCGGAGCTCGGACGAGCAGCTAGTATGTTACGAAAGAAAGCATAAATTACATGCTGAGACGTCAATAATGAACGCTTTTAGGGGCAGCTTTAAGATTATATTATTCGTAAATCTTATGTTGAATCAATTGTTTTTTTTTTTAATTTCAATAAATCCTATCAATTTGTAAAATGACGATTAAAAAAACATAGCACTATAATATTTGTCACGCAAATCTTGTCGAGTTTCTAATAAAACTACGCCCTGTGTGTTGTTTAAACCGCGCACGAACGTTTATTAATCGTCTAAAACGTGAACTGGCAGTGTAAGGGAAACCCAAAAAATACCGTTCTCAAACACGAGCCGAGTTTCTCATTGCAACTTGTTGCTTCGGGTTAAGAGAATAAAAAGAGAACGGGGCACGTTGGACGTTATAGGACCACCAAACAGGCAAAAAAAGTGGCAAAGCTCATCTTGAAAAATGCTCAGAGGGTTCTGTACGTATTCCGATTGAAATTATTGGAATTATTGTCACAACTACGCGATTGAAAACGATTATCTGCATCAACAGTCGAGTGACAGTTCGTCAATCTTTAGGAATTTTCTGGACCGCAACAGTCTTCGCTGCTGCACGAATGTGCAGGTTTGTCCTGGGAAGTGCCACGAACTCACTGAAGAGTGGCGTGAAGTTAAACTTCTGCGAAGTTATACTTCTGCGGAGTTATACTTCTGCGTTTTATCTCATGAGTGAGTTGGTAGGGGCCCATTTTATTGTAATGTGGCAACGCATCAGCAATCCTACGAGTGTTGCAAATGTCCATGGATTATCATTGCCAGCTCGCTTGCCACCTACTCACATAAAAATTGGGCTACCGGTTACTTCTTTGAGAGCCGCGATGCCCTAATACCCTCTGTATTAGGAAGTATAGAGGAAGTCTTTGAGCAGCAGTGGGACATGTATTCTCAACAAAAGTATTAGTAATTCTTCTTAAGTCTCGTCTCCTAGTAGGTCTCGTTTTCCCCAATCGGTTGCTGGCAAAACTAACTACTGCAAAAACTTAGGCTTACAATTTTTATTATGGTAATAAAATATGAATATGTTAAGCGTATCGAGGAAGATCGCGACGCAGTGACTCATTCCGACCTGTTCCAAGAGCGGCTCACAATCTCTGAGGCGAGGATTAAGGTATCCGTTATTGTACATCAAGCCTGGTATGCAAGGAATCCAAAATCTTCATGTAATTAGAAGTTTTGAGAACAGTTATTCAAATAGTTCACTCGTATCACTACATAGTACAAAATAAAGTCGTCCCACTGTCTGTCTGTCTCTATGTATGCTTAGATCTTTAAAACTACGCAACGGATCTTGATGCGGTTTTTTTACTAGATAGAGTGATTCAAGAGGAAGGTTTATATGTATAATACATTGCACGCTACTATTATTATTATATACTATTGCATTAGTCGCTAGTTTATTATATGAATAAAACTTTTACTTCATATTTTTGGAAGGAATATAGACAATGGAAAACTGATCATTAGCGAAGCATGAGAAAATATTACGTAAAAGTGAATTCTTTTAGTGAAAACTAAAAGGTCCTTCCACACTTCGAACCCTACACACAGATACTCGACCTGACTGATATTGATTTATCTTCTGCACAGATTAAAAAGGAAACGTAAAACCGACATTCAAATTCCGACGCCACTCCGACGTGATGAAAGACTTTATACGATTTATGCCGAGCGGCAAACGGCAAAAGGAAATGCACTCGCCAATAGTCTGTGCAATTTGACTTTGGAACACTTTTTCAGCTATTCGGTTCAGCGATTGGGTTTTGTTCTATCTCTGATTCCGGCTATTTCTAGATGTGGTTTACGTTTAATTTATCTATTTCTAGATATAAATTACGGTTGAAATGAGGCGTTGTCCCGACCTCGACCGTGACCTTTAGTCTTTGGATTCACATATTCCCGACTCAATCTTCTGTTTGATCTCTTATTGTGTTCCCGTAAATGGGGTCGCTTACGGGTAATTAATAAGCAAATTTGAGCAAATTAGATCACTTTCTATTTCATACAAAAACTACATTTAAGGGAGAGCCATGATCAATGACATTGATTTATATTGAAGTATAATTACTAAAGAATGTGTAATAAGAAATTACCAATATGTAGGAGTTACACAAATAAGAAAATTTAGGCGATTTTACAAAAAATTTCGAGTCTACATGCTAGAGCTATGAGTACTGCTTCGAGTAATACTTCTTTCGAGTATGAATAGTTGAGTACTCCAGTGGAAGTGGTCTAAATGGACTTTATATCAGTACAGACGGATGCTTTAGTAGAGTTTAGACCAAGATTGGACCGATCGGTATCCGATGGATTGATCGATTGCAAATCACTGGCATCAGAACACTTGGCCACAAATCAATAAACTAACCTTTAGCACAATCCATAGTTTCTTTGGACGGATGGCAGTATACGAATATTCCGTTAGCTTAATTATAAATTAAGTAATGGACGTGCCTGAATCGACTAGACCTATAAAACTGTTGCCCCCTCATAAAGTAAAGGCCCATTTACACGATGCCATTTTCTTGTACATACAAGAGCAATAATTGAATGCAATAAATTGCGCGCAATAATTGTTTAGACCATTTGTTGTTCAGACCATGCAACTCATTTATTGCTTCAATTTAATTGTATACAACAGGCAAGAAACTGGCACCGTGTAAATGGGCCTTTACGCTTCTCGCTCCAAAACGATGGGCAATCGGCAACTTTCGAAGTTGTGGTTATTTTCGCCTGCACCTTCTCACAGAAGACGGCTTTGCCTGGAGTGGACGTTTGGCCTACTCTGGAAGTTGAAATACGCATGAATACATGAGCAAGGCAAGTCTTCTCAGGTTTTAGATGGCCTTCATACATATCCGCCTCACTAGTCCCGTGCTCGACTAGCTTCACTTTCTCCTGGACCTGGAGAAGACGGTCTGACCGACCAATACCGCTAAGGTATCATAAAATTGATACAGAAACGCCCGGTTTCTGAACCACTGAACATCCTAGAAGTCCTCAACTATCAAATGGCTTTTCAAATGTTATTTATGTTGCCAAAGCGATTGTTAACTCTCTCAATTGATCATAATGATCTTCTTAATGATGAGAATGATTTATTCAAAGAGTTTAACAATCCTTTTGGCAACTCAAATAACATTTGTAAAGCCGTTTGACAGCTGATTAGTTAACATCTACGATGACCCGTGTTTCGGAAACCGGGCGTGAGTGCAATTGCTTACCTATTCCATACAAACAAATAAACTACTTTTATCACTTTAAATGTTAGTACACACAATTGCTTTAAGAGTTTTTCGAAAGATACAATAAAACCATTATAAATAATTGTCTTAAGCAAACATTTAAACATCCTTTACAGCAGTCATAATTAATATTACACGTCGTTTAACGCGTACGAAACACCTTTAAGATTTAAGTTCGAAAATGTTTATGTAATTATCGGTTACAAGAAGTAATGTTCCATTGTTGAGTAATTACAGATATTCGTCTGTGTTAATTAAAGGTTATTCTATTTCTAAATAACTGTTTGTTATAAACCGACGATGGGCAGACTTGTGCCATTTGCAACTACATAGAGCTGCAAGACATTTTTTATCTTTATATAAGTATATAATTCTTCGAGAATGCTTTAGATTCACAATTTGGTCGGTTTTTTATTTATAACTTAAGTCGTCTAAAACAAGATGTCTGTTGGGTCCTAGTGTTATATTAAAAAAAATTGGCAAATAATAACCCCGAATACTTAAGCAGACGAATAGAAACGGAAAAATAATCTTAATAAAATATGTTATTATATTAAGTTTTGTATTGCTTTTATAAAAATGATACACTGATGATTTACTTTGATATATTACGTAGGTAGGTAGTTATTGAAAAATACTGCCCGTGACCAATGGGCGGATATTTAAGCAAACGCTCTAGTTTAATGACGAATTTGTGTGACTGTAAAGTCTTTTAAATTGTTATTAGTTTCATTACCAGGGACGTCAAATAAAAAAGTATTAATGGCCAAAAATTGCGTTTATTTCTAAAGTTTAAAGAATACACAAATTTCATATGCGAAGGTGATTACTACTTTATTGTAAATTCAGTACTAAAGCAATGATTATTAGAAGTAAAATAGTAAATTATTAAATGAAACATAAACTCCTGCGTTAAAGGTAGGTACAAAATACCGCTATATTGAAATATATACCTAAGCTATGTTATTCCCACAACTGAAACGAATCTAATGACACCTCATATTTTGAAATCCGTCAAAAGTTTATGCTGTAAAGGGTGCTAATATATGGGTTATATTTCTAACATTGATAGAAAATATTGTATCTCCGCTTTTTTTTAAAAAAAAAAAACGTTGCCCTTACTTTAGGATAACTTTACCCTGAGTTGTAAGGATATTTTACAAACATAAATTTCGCGCGGACAAACACCCAGATGCGAAAAAACTATCTGTGGGCCACACAAATAGTTGTCCCGTGTGGGAATCGAACCCACGACCCCGGACTCCGAAGCCTTGTTATAAATATTAACTTGTTATTTCAGTTTTGAAATAGAAATTAATAACTATAATATTATTTAATTAGAGTGCAAGTAACAACTCTATATTTACTCGTACTATACTGTTTTGGTATCAGGTGATATCTTCATTCGATTATTCGGCTTAAATCTAGTTATGATTAGGTCTATAATGGTATAGCAACGTTAGTGGTGCTATCCTAACATCGGAAACACTAAGATTGTGCGGTAATTCATATTGTAAATAAAACTTGTAGTGTATTGTAAAGTAGTCGTGTTGTTTCTTTTAATTTAAAGAAAATTAAATAGACGGCGTGTACATTGTGTTCAAAAGGCAGAAGTACGACCAAGAGGTACTCAGCACCTGAAAGAAAAACATGTTTAATTTTTTTTTTTTATGTGAAAAGTTGCCAAACGAGCAGACGGTTCACCTGATGTTAAGTGAATACCGCCGCCCATAGACATCTGCTACACCAGAGGGTTTGCAAATGCGTTGACAACCTTTTTGGAAATTGGGCTCCGGCTACCTCACTCACCAGACGAAACGCGAAAGTATTTGTCATACTTCCACTTTACGCCGATCTTCTGTGAGGTCGTGGTACTTACCCGGACGAGCCTGCCCATTCGTGCAACAGCCGAGGCTGCTGCGAGGCTCTACCACCGTAACATATTTAAATAATTTAGACTTTAAAAAAATTAAGAAGTTTGAGTAGCACTAACGCTTTGAGAGAATTAAGAATTGTCGTTTTTAAGGGTTCCGTACCCAAAGGGTAAAACGGGACCCTATTACTAAGACTCCGCTGACTGCCTCGTCTGTATGCCTGTCCGTCTGTCACCAGGCTGTATCTCATGAACTGTTATAGTTAAACAGTTGAAGTTTTCACAGATGATGTATTTCTGTTGCCGCTGTGACAACAAATACTAAAAAGCATAAAAAAATATTTAAGTGGGGCTTCCATACAACAGATAATGCAACGGAACCCTTCGTGCGCGAGTCCGACTCGCACTTAGCCGGTTTTTTTTACTTGTGATATGAAACCTTGCTTTTTTTTAAATGTCGTGTATTTTGATGTTAAACAGGTTCAATCCTAAATTGATTTACAAATTAAAGTTTTACCGTGATAGATCATTGTACGGGCGCATTCGTTTTTTACAATGTACTCGAGCAACCTGAGTTCAGTCCCAATGAAATTGTCAATTTTAAGCGCTGACTTTTCACGTGCTCAGCGGTCAACACATGGTGAAGAGACATGCATATTTTCGAAATAATAACGAAACAAAAATATTTCGAAGATATGTGAAGTCGGTCAATCGGCAGTGATAATATGACTTTGCCTTAATACCCACTCTACGTGATCTGTTCCTGAGAAAAGGAGGTTTTAGCAGCCGGACCGACAAACAGACATACAACACCAAATTCGAGGATAAAATAAATGTTATGTTTTCACCAATTGAAGTATGGAACCGAAAAAAACATAATAGTACCAGTTAAGCTGGGTACTGGAATAGCATATAAATGTTGGCTGGACACAGATTTTATTTTTAGATATTCGCTGGAGCCAGTGTGAAACAGTATGCGTACATTTTCGGATTTTTTAAATCAGTCGGTTTGGATTCTTTAGGTTCCTTCCTTGGAATTCTATAAAGTGATCTACACTTAACGCTGTTAACTGTTAATGTCATTTTAACAGTGATTTCGCAAAATTTTGAAAACTTCATGAATTATAATTAAAAATAGTTATAATTTTTTCAGTCTAAATAACAAACAAACGGTAAGGCACACCAAAGAGGCATAGCAGTAATATAAGAGTGTAAAGTGCCTTTTTGGTGATCTAAAACTGTAATGAAGTGCTTCTAATACTTCAAAAACAAATAATATATAAAACTAATGGCTCTATTTCATTTATTCACTTAAAAAAATCAAGTTAGTGCACTTAATAATTTTTAGAATAATACCAAAGGCTTATTTAAAAATTATTAAAAAGACAACTAAAAAATAGAGTAAACTTTTTGTCACTTCTTTTTATAAAAAAAAGTAATTTTATAACCAACGGGCTATTACATGCATCTGTCAACTTTAGAACGATGTTAACAGCTTCACGAATTAAAAAAACAATCTACAACTGGCCGTAAGCACTTTCTTCAATTAAAAAAAAAAGAAAAGAACCAATCACTCACGCTCGTGAACGCCATAAGGTTGACGTCTGCGAAACCCATCGCGGTGAGCTTGCACGGCTTCTGGGCGCTGCGAATAGACGTTCGGTAAAGTGTTGCTTAAAACCTCTGTCGCAAGAACGTGCTTCGGATAAGGCTCGGTGTGCATCGTTGTTATATATTTATCGCTCGCTTTTAATTGAATATATACTCGAGCAAACTGAGTTCACATCCCGGTGCCAGCACCAATGAAATTGACTTGAGCGCTGAAGGAAACCTGCAGGTTTCCTCACGACATTTTCCATAAAAATATGCATATTTTCGAAATAATAACAACAAAGAAATTTTGGAGATACGTTTAGTCCGCCAACCCGCACTGGGGCCGTGTGGACTATGCCCGGATTCCCTCTGTACAGAGGAGGCCTTTGCCCAGCATTGAGACATGAATGGACTGTTACTTTACTTTACTTACACCCAACTCTTCCTGTCCAAGAAGAGATTTGTGAGTTTACGTAAACGCAACTCAGTCCTGCAATAGTCCTGCAGCACTTGAAATTTCTAGGATGCATTTTTAACTAAAACTAGGCTATCTCTTGGAGCAGCATCAATAACTTGAGTGTCAGTTCCTTGGAAAAATCATGGGATGACTTAAATTTTTGACTCGTCATCACTTGTGATTTTTCCTTTCTGTCGAAGCATAAATATAAAACTAGAAAATAATTCCCAATAGTGTACGAGTCAATACAAGTTATTTTTAAGCTACACATATTCTATTTTCTATGCCATGAGAAAAAAATATGTGGATTAGTTTCTAATTCCAACGTCACAGTGAGCACCCAGCTTAAGCTCGTCGGGCGGAAATAGCCGCGGCTTTTAAATACATTTCATGTAAAAATATATTTTTAGGTTATAAAAAGGGGAATAACAACAGCATATTGGATTTTTCGTGTTACGAAACGGTGCAACTTTTAATTTTACACGAAACGGCGGATTCGTGACGCACCGTAAATTTATTATTGATTATGAAATAAAACTGTTCTAAATTCACTTTTGTCAGTGGTAATACAAAATACTGGACAGTATTTAATACATTCGCTACAAAACAAAGTAATATAGAATTTAATGGTAGTATGGTGTAGGCGAAATAGTACAGCGATATTGTCTGTATTTATGTGCATATATATATATATATATATGTATTGGATAGATACTATTTATATAAATATTAGAATTCATGTTTATTTACATGTATGTAATATTTTATATAAAATCATGTTTTTCACTACTTCTCAGTTGGCTCTTTCGCGCCTCCTTATTTTCTATATTTATTAGTCGGTTGACTGGTAGAGAACACCTTACGGTTTGAAGTACGCTATTGTGGAAAAAGTTTTTAAATAAATAAATAAATAAAAATATTATACCATATAATATTGTACAGAGTATTTTTACTGTTTTATTTTTTACTGTTACTACTTTAGAAATCTGTGCTCTCCATTAACCGTAATCGTTACAATAAAATAGCTATATTCTGGAGATCTTAAATTCAAGGCTGAAGTGGAATTCTCCAGAGATCGGTTGGTTGGTTGATTTTTATAAGTACATACAAACGCCGTATCGCGACGGTACTCAAATTAAGGCCAGTTAAGAGAAGACCGGAAAGAAACTCTACCAACAGTCACACAGCGCGGCAAAAAGTTTACATAATGGCATATCACCTCTGTGTGCTTTCCATGACATTACATTTTTCCACGACCACTAGGTTTATTATTGCCATAACGATATGAACAAAAAAGAAGATATAAAATTAACCTATAATACACAAAAATATATGAATTTCATTTTGGCAAAAAGGTAATAAGCTCAGCGATTTCTAAGAATTTCTCAGTGCTGATTTTCAGCTTATCCCTTCTTAAAACTTACTACCTACATCGTCATTTGCAAAGATTGACAGCGGTAGTTGGCATTTTTTTTTCAGTAAGCTCTCAATACTATAATAATAACAATAATGTGTATCTAAAAATTACTACCGTACTGAACACCAAGGACAAGAAGACAAAAAATATATATACAAGAAAACGTTTAATACGTACCCCATACAAACTAAACACGACATTAAATACTACTCGAAATATTATCACCTTTTGCCATCTGTCGATGCAAAATAGAGCTAGAGAACACTTTTAAAGAGATGTCAGTAGCGTTCCACAACATTCTAAGAAAATTACGCCCGGTTTCTGAAACTATGATCTCTCACTCACTCAAATGACATTTGAAAAGCCATTTGACAGCTGATTAGTTGACATCTACGATGATCAGTGTTTCAGAACATCAGTTTTACAGTATACTAGATGTCGCCAGGAATTTCTAGGAATGCACTAAAAAACGTAGATAGATGTCGAGATTTTTGCACCGTTAAGTGATCGGCTTGGCTTAATTGCTAACGTTACACGTTACACAGACGCAGGTCTGATTCCGTTGATTTATCATGGAACCGAATTAAACTATTTTATTCGAACGATTGGAAACCCTAGTCGGTTCTGCCACCATTATATAAATAGACCATTCCATAATATAACAATCAAGCCACGTACCGTGTCAGGACTATGAGGAGACTCTTCGCGATCCCTGGATCTGCGGAGTACCAGCGACTGTTGTAGACAGCGTTGCTCACACCCATACTCTAATCGGGTGAACACAGTTATCAGACCAGACAGGTGGTGCGTATGCTGAGGACTCTTGTATCTTGTATTAACTGATGTTTTTGCTTTCAGTCCCGATTATTAAAGCTTCAACTCACGCAGAACCGGTGGGCTAGCCATAACCCACGGGTTTGGGGGCTGAGGACTGCAATCCTTACTGAAGTTAACTTACGGACTGTGACATATCTGGTAAACCACGAAGCAGATACGGTTGTTTCTTTTAAATGAAAATTTGGAAAACGAGCAGCGGTTCACGTGGTTGTCAATGGTTACAACCACCCGTAGACATCTGCATGTTACCCCGGTTACCTCAATAACCGGACGAAACGCGAAAGTATTATAGTTCCACTTCACGGCGGTCTTCTGTGACGCCTTGGTATTTCCCTGGACGAGCCTGGCCATCCTTGCAACAGCAGAAGCTGCTGCGTGGCCCAACCACAAATTAATATATACAAATTTCGGTAACCGGCAATTTAAAATCAAAGGAAAGCGCCTTAAAATCCGTGAAATAGTTAATTTACTCATATTTTCATACAATATTTCAGAAGGCTCACCGATCGCATCAGCATGTCGCCAAAGAAGCAAAGGAAGAATATCTGGAGAAGACTCATGAAAAGGAACACCAGGAACGTGACAATGAGCGCGACGTCTTCTATAGCCTGCGAGAAACAAACATACATAAAAGTCATTACCACATAAAGAGTATACCATCATCATCATCATTTTAGTCTTTTTGAGTTCACTGCTGAAAAAACTCTACCTACGGCTAGCATCGGAAATCGTCTTTCTTTCCATTATAGTTCTACCATGGTAGGGCCAGGCGGCAGCTGTGGCACGAATGAGCAGAATCGTCCGGGGAAGTACCGCAACTAACATAAGACCGATATGAAGTGAAGTATTATAATTACGCGTTTCGCCTGTGAGTGAGGTAAACACGTAGGTAAAAGGTATCCGAGGCCCTGTTTAATAGGCACACCTCTGCAAACTCTTTGATTTTGATATGGTTATCCATGAGTTGTCTTAACATCAGGTAACCACCTGCTTACCTACAAAGTTGGCATATAAAAAACTGACGAAAATCGTTTTCTTTTAAAATTAGAATCGTGATAATAATCGTATTGCGGCTGAAGGAGGCACCGCATTGCGACAACAATCCGTTCACCGAGGTCAAGTCATAGACAATTACATTTTTCTTTTGAACGTTTCGAGCAGATATGAAAATAAGGAATTTATTTAACTACACACATTTCAATAACATTATTAGTGTTATAATGTTTATTGTTTTAGTATTACAAATTGTATGTTTATCGTTTTAGAAGGCAAATTAGTATTTAAAAAAATATATTGTTTATGTTATGTTAGCTACCGTATGCTTCCTATTAGGGTAACATTGTAATGGAGTCAAGCTAAATTACGGACCTGGATAAATTATTTAATTATCGTACTTTTGAAGGATATGAATTGAAATTGTAATTGTAATGATTAACAGTTGTAGGTAAGCAATCGCATATGCATTTAAATTAAAAAATCTTTTAACATAATCGTCTGCATTATTATTTGTTTGCAATCGTGCGTTGACCAAAGTTATTCTAATAGGTATATGTGAAACGTCATAATGTGTTTCATACGTTTGCTGGACCATATCTAGAACTTAAAAAAATGACATGGCCCGTTTCTTCTCTGAACCTCACTACGAAATGACTATCCATAGATGAAAATCGTGGCAGTCTGTGTGGGCCTACGTCCAGCAGTGGAAACAGGCTGAAATTATGATGATGATCATAGATGAAATACTTGTTTCGAAGAATAAATTATTTGATTTTACTTGTGCGCCCCAAGAAGCTTCTGCTGTGTCCACAACTGTTGTCTGTGTAATCCGCTAACTTTCCGTGTGTGTATCGCGGCCGCGAGTCTGTTTTGGTGAACACTGAACATACTCGAATGATGACCAAAAGTGATGATGAGTCACTTACCAAATCAAACCATTTATTCATCGAAATAAGAAATATACATTTCATCTATCGATAGTCATTTCTTAAATCTACGAACGTTTCGTAATTAGGTTCCTCTAACGGAGAAGGAACAGGTGAAAGAAACTCCGTAGGTATCCTCTTTTTTGTCATTTTTTTTTCAAAATACCATCACGTTGAATCCGGTGAGGCAGATGAGCATTGAGCTTGAGACGAAGTTGTACAAAGTGGGCTTCGAATAGACCGCTTCTAGGAGGCTCGTGGCCCTGTGGGAGAGAATTTATTTTATCTGTATATCAGTAGTAGGAAGAGAAAGTAGAGACAAGACCAGGTAATTGTCAAAGGATTTGGATCTAGCTCCGAGTTCGTATCACTTTGGTAGTGCAAACTGATTTTCCCTTTGTATGATGTGATGAGATTCGGCGAGATCAACAGCGCGTGTTGCTCTAAATTAGTGCATGACCTTCCTTAATGCATTTGTTTGTTCCTTTGAAAATCGCTACATCTACTGTAAGATAATCGATAAATCTTCTATCGTCGAGGCCTAAGCACAGATTAAACAGGACATATAAATTGGAACAATTATCATTAGGTAATAGAACCCTCAACCAACTGCGCAGAAGTCCAATTGTTAGCATCAGCACTGTGACTCGTCATAGGAGGTTTCGAACGTGCTTTTATTTTCAGCCTGTGACAATAGCGGAACATGTTTTTTGACTGACGAAACTAAAACTCCCCCGTATTTGTATTCTTAAGGAAATCTAAATTGTTGTCACTGCAACGGAGTCTTGAACGTTACGACGTTTTTGTACAGGTCTGACGTTGTTCCTAGAACGGCAGAGGCCATGGCCGGAGATTGGGTTTCCAAGTGGTGGTGACCTTGGCCCGGTTGCCGGTTTATTAGCGGACCTTATACAAAGTGAGGCCAGCGGATGTTGCGAACAGTTTTTCATGTTTAGTCTGTGATAGCACTAGAATATTCTTTTAATGGTGGTGTATGATGCGAGTAAGGAAATAAGAAGCGCTTGCGCATATTTTGTTATGACCTTTTAAAACGTCGTTTATTGTTAACTTTGTTGTTTGGCATTATTGCCTGGCATCTAATTAAAGGTTATTCCCTTGTTTAGGGAATAACCTTAGATGCCAGCAAATAATTCAAGTTTATGCACGTCAAGGTATTATGGTAAATATAAATCGTTATGTTACCTGAGTCGACTGACAAGGGCTTCAGAAAAGGGGATAGAAGATCAATTATGGGCAAAGGAAGGGTCAGAAATGGAAAACTAGAGGAAGGCAGAGGAAAATCTGGATGGTCTGTGTGAAGAATGATATGTCTGTGAAAGGGGTGAGTATAGAGATGACGGCTGATAGATGAAAATGGAAAGGACAAGTTGTACCAACCCCAGCTAGAGTGGGCAGGAGAAATAGAGAAAAAGAGAAGGGTAAGAAATGAACTTATTTGAGAACGGAAGTACGCAAGCTCACGGATGCTAAGTTCACGTACAGCAGTTGCGACAACGAGTTGGTTCATCTGATGTTCAGTGATTACTGAACATCAGATGAACCAACTCAGCTTGCTGGACACGTTATTCGATAAAAAAAGAAAGAAGAACAAACCGTATTGACATATGATGTCTCCTGATTAGTTCTACGAATTTCTTCTTATACTCTTTGTCTTCGGATTGGGTTATACCGGTTCCAGAGTTTTCGGGAATGATGTTCTCGAAGTCGTACTGGAGCAGCCTGAACTGAATCTTAATGTAGCTGCAGCAGGTGAAGAACAGGTAGTCTGCGCTGCAGATGTCCAAGATAACAACGCATTCTAGAAGGAAAGGACATGTCTGCGAATAATCTTTAACCAACTTCAAAAAAGAATGTTTCTCAATTCGACCGTATATATTTTTATTTGTTTTTATGTGTGTTCGCGGATAACTTCGTCGTTTATGAACCGATTTTGATGATTCCTTTTTTGGTGGAAAGGAGATATCCCAAAAGTGGTACCATGATAAGGAAACCCAGATCTGATGATGGCATCTCAGAGAAATCGAGGGCAATCCTCAAATGTTAAAGGTATTAACAATGTTTGTCAGGTTCCGATTTGAAGCCGGATTTTTTTGTTAGAAATTATTATTTATGATACACTATTTTACGTAGCCAAAGTCTACGTCATCTACGCGCTTATCTTATCTCACATGAGACGGACGAGGTTTGATATTTTTATGAAGTTATACTTCTTTTGGCGCGCTTGGAAAAGTTATGAGATTAAAATTTTTACGATGCGTAGGCACACCGATCTGAGACGATGCTTCGTAACCAATTTAATTTTGGCATACAATAACAAATTTTTGACATTTACCAATACTTCTAAGTTATTTAAATAAACCTGCATTTAATATCTTTACGCTAAAACGTATAATGTACATGCGTACATAAAAAATACATCCTTCTTCTTGTTACTGTAGGTATAGGTTAATGAGGTTCATAAGAACGCGCAAGCGTCTATGTGAATAAAGATATTTTGATATTTTTTTGAGTGCGTTTGCCATCTTCTGTTCTCAAATTCAACAGCTTGGAGGTTTTCTCTTGGGTATAGTTTTATTAATCTCACAGACATGATAACTGAAAACGCCTTAACAACGACTTCAGGTGTTAACAATCTTAAAATTATTATAATGTACGTACTTCATTCAACTATTAACTAGGCATTAGTACTAGGTATTCTCTCTCTTCTTCTACAATAGATAAGAGAATTTAAGTTTATAATTACTCTACATTTCATCGTTCAGTAATTTTACACCCAACTTCTACACCGATTTTGAAATTCGATCGAAAGCATGAATTTTGTCCAGAATCCCTCAAAGTGAAATTAGTGAAAGTTATTATAGGAGTTTAGAATTTGCGTTTACAGCGTCAATTGGTTCAAACGACAGGGGTTTCTTTTACGCAATACCCGTACTCGTAAAACCATTCATTTTTCTCATTCTCGAGGTCGTTTGTATTTTCTCACTCGTCTTCCTACGACGACGGTTCTACCGCATTCGAAGACAAAATATAAACTTTAGAAATCCGTAATAGTTTTATAAGCTTAAAAAATTATGCATTACTTACGAAAAATACTTTGGCTTCGGAAAAGGGAATTTAATAAGTTCTTTTTCCAAATATTATGGGTAATTTTGTTTGTTTTCCATATGATAGTATCTCAATATATGCATGGCAAAGCCGATAATCTTCTTGAACTCTTAGAACGCGAATAGAAACTGAGTTTACATCTAAGCGAATGGGTTAGTCTCTGCTCCAACTGAACTATGAAATAGTATTTAGAGATTTATGAGATAATTAAAAAATCTAATGCTGGCCTTCCCTCTTTTACAAATGTAACGTATGGGAAAATTAGGATTTGAACCCTGGACACTGCTGATACACTTACCAGACCAGAACTGGTGCATATACACGAAGGGCCAGTAATGTATATCGTAGGAGTTGAACGGGTATATGATGAGGAACGGGAGAATCAGCTCCACCTCGTTCGTCTTCAAGTATTTAATCAGCATCAGCACCAAGGGGCTCACGGAGAAAGTGAACACCAGTACGACGTTGAGGATATTCAGCATATTGATCACGTAGCTCAGGAACCTCCTCTCGTTTGCCACGATCTCGTCCTTCTCTTTTACTCTTACGGCGCTCTCCATTCGCTCAAGAGAACGGAGGCTCTCTGTCAGCTCCTCGATCCTGTGTTCGTTGAATATCAGGAATAGGGATTTCAAATTGGCCATCAGGCTTAGGGCTATGCACGGGGCGATGTACGTCAGCCCAACGAAGCTCTTCCCGTGCATCATTCCGTCTATAAACCAGTAGATCCCGCCGGCCAGGTCGATGTTCAGCCACGAGGAGTTGAAGAGGTACAGCAGACGCGTCTTGACCGTCTGAACGGTTGTACGGCCCTTGCTCTCCAAAGACAGGCCACCGTAGCGGAAGAGGAAGGCGATTCTGCCCAGAGACTTATCAAACAGCAACGTGTCCTCGGACATAGTTCCGGATTTGACTAAAGAGTTTTAAAGAAAAAGTTTCCATAAATTTAATAAACAATTTATGGATAATTAAGGTCCAATATTGAAAGCGAGACGTATACATGACGTTAAAACATATAATTTCGATATTAATAATTAAAAGTTCTTTCCATCGTTGTGGATTATTAAAAATTATGTAAATACTAGCTTTTCACCCGCGGCTCCGCCCGCGTGGAAGCCCTTAAATAAATATATTTTTTTTTATAAAAAGAATCCTATGTCCTTTTTATTACCTCTAAGAATATGTGTACAAAGTGTCATGATAAATCTGTTGAGTATTTTTGGCGTGAAAGAGTAACATACAAACTTCAACATTTGTAATATTAGTAAAGATTCTTTTAAATTGACACACGCTTGTAACTTAATGTATTTGTCTGATGAACGAAGTTTAGAACATTAACACAATCGTTCAACACTATATTGAATTACTATCAACTCGTCTGTTCTTTCTAACAATACGTTTGTTATGCTTTCTGGATGTTTATTTTGGTCCGTATCATATACATTACATTCTGAATTACTTTCACCACCGAATGACCGTTTCAGAGATTCTGTAACCGACATTTGTAAAAGAATTTGTAATTGACAAGTCCGTCTGGGTAAGTACGAGGACCTCACTGATAACCGATGTGAAATGGAAATGTTAAACTTCAGCGTTTCGTCTGGTGAGCGAGAAGCCCACTATATTAAAACGATGGCAACCTCACGGATGTAGCAAATGTCTATGGGTGGCAGTTATCACTTAACATCAGGTAAACGGCCAGCTTGTTTGCCACCGTCTCCATACAGACACCAGTATAGTCGCAACCATTTAATAACTCTAATACAGATTTATTAAAAGTTTGCGAGAAGTTTCATCATATAACTATTTTATATCATATAATTATTCATAATATAACTGATGCTCATGAACAAGAACAAAAGAGGTATTGATTATATCCGAGGGGATTGCCGACCCGTTGCCATTTTTGAGGGTGTTATTCCTGATTTCACCCAACGGACGAAATAATTTTTGCTAATATCCTTAGGCCGCTGCAAATTAATGTGAGTAATTGCAACATTTGCAATCAAAGCCACACTGTCGCCACACACGGTAAAATGTAAGTGGCAGGGGATAATACATGGCATAATTTTTTCGACTTCAAAAAGGAGGTTTGGTTGTATTTTTCTCGTTTGTTGTTACCTCAGAACTCCGGCATTTTTGAAAATTGTTTTTGCCACCCGATTTAGCTCCCTTGTCGTCACATCAAAGAACACCAAAAAAAACAAACAGAAAATATATAGCTACATAATATTATGTAAAGTACGTTTTGTTTCTGTTGATAAAAATACGTTTTATTCGTATACCGCTCGCATAGAACGTCCCAGCCCTGTATAAAGATTATGACCCGCCCTAAGACAACAACGCAATTCCAATTTACATACAATAAATGCGTGCCCGTTAAGCCCGAGCATTGTTCATTGTTCGCGGTTCCGTAGAAAAACCGGCGATTGTTCGAACAATCGACAAAGGATAGTTTTCGAACGTCACTACGCGGCGGGCTCTTCGTGACGCTCTCACGTATTATCAATAGTATTGTGTCTCTTTTTTATATGAGAAAAATTGCCAAGCGAGCAGGCGGTTCACCTGACGTTAAGTGAACCACGAACGTTTACAACGCCTTAGCGTTTATAGATGAATTTAAAAAACCGGCCAATTGCGAGTCGAAATCGCACACGAAGAGTTCCGTACCATTATCCATAAAAACAGTTTTGTTTTTTAGTATTTGTTTGGTATAGTGGCAACAGAAATACATCATCTGTGAAAATTTCAACTGTCTAACTATAACTGTTCACGAGATACAGCCTGGTGACAGACGGACAGACAGATAGACAGACAGCGAAGTCTTAATAATAGAGTCCCCCGTTTTACCCTTTGGGACGGAACCCTAAAAGGGACCCTGTGTACCTGACTAACCAGACGAAACGCCATTAGATACAGCCTGGTGACAGACGGACACATAGCGAAGTCTTAGTAATAGGGTACCGTTTTACCCTATGGGTACGGACCCTGTGTACCTGACTCACCAGACGAAACGCGAAAGTATAACTTCCATTTCACGCCGGTCTTCTGTGAGGCCGTTTACCTCCCTAGACGTACCTGCTCATTCGTGTCAAAGCAGAGCTGTTGCGTGGCCTTACCACAGGTAAAACTCGCTGGCAGACGCTGATATTCGCCCAGGAAAAATGGCGGAGGAGTTTGTATTTGACATTGGATGATTATCACTTCGAGGTTTTTTCTGTGCAGTGAAAAGATGTGAAAAATTGACAAGCGAGCAAGCGGTTCACCTGATGTTTAGTGAATACCGTTGCCCGTGGACTTCTGCTACAACCGAGGATTGCAGATGTGTGACAACCTCTTGAAAATTGGGCATCGGCTACCTCACTCATCGCACGAAACGCGAAAGTATTTTCTTAAACTTTACGCGGGTCTCCTGTGGGGTCGTGATTCTTTTACTTCCGGGCGGTAATCAATCGTACAAGATCGACTCACAAATGACCGAGTTGTAAGGTGACAAACACAAAAAAAATACAACTGAATTGAGAACCTCAGCCTATTTATGAGAGAGGACAGATGATAGGTTACGCAATACGACATGACAGATTCATTAACAACATGATGGAATGAAAGATGGAAGGAAAGCGGGGTAGAGGCAGACCGAGGATATATCTAAAATAAAGATAAAGATAAATGTTGGGTCCTATAGAGAGGTAAAGGAAAGGGCTTTGAACAGGGAAGATGACACATAGTGGCGGATTTGCCCTAAGGCCCAATAGGCCCGGGCCTAGGGCGGCCACATATTAGGGGCGGCCAATCGTGACAAAAAATTCACTGATGATAACAAGACATATGATGGGTTCTGAGAAAGGGGCGGCTGGAACTTACTACATGGGCTGGGGCCTGGGGCGGCCAAGACTACAAATCCGCCACTGATTACACAGCTGAACTACTGGGATGATGTACCGACAAGAGCCAAAGTCTTAAATTAAAAATAGAGAGATCCTTTTTATGAAGTTGATGACCTCCCTATATACATACGTGTATATTAATTCGCGAAATATATGAACTACTAAGCTTTAATACTGAAAGCAAACATAACAGACGGAGTCAGGGAACAATTGATAACGATTATTGTTCTTTATTCTACGCACCAACGAAACAATAGACTTCCAAGCGTTTGTCTCTTGAGTTGTTTTGGTTCAGATTCTAAAACTTCCTCGAAAGTACACAATGCGCAATGTTTCTACAGGCTATTTTAACCTCAGAAGGTGGCAAATGAACTGTTGGCGGTTCACCTGATGTTAAGTGATAATCGTCGCCCATGGAACACATTTGCAACACGCGTAGGATTGCAGATGCGTTGCCTTAAAGTGGGCTTAAGTTACATCTCTCACCAGACGAAACGCAGAAGTATTCACTTCCACTTCACGAGGATGTGGTACTTCCCCGGACGGACCTGGCCATTCGTGCAACGGCAAAAAGACTGTTGCGTGGCCCTACCACAGTAATAAGATTTTGTGACGTTGTACATCGTAACAACTGTGACAGTTTGCTAAGTTTTACACAACCTCACAAACACGTAGTCAGGGACATGATACCTCACACCAATGATATTTTATACTACAGATATTATGTTGTTAGGTGCCCGGAGTGAAGCCACGAAAACGTCCCGATTGAGACATTTTCGTGGCAAAGAAAGAACGAGACGGAAATTATTTTCCGTCTCGTTCTTTCATTTAGTTTATCAAACTTATGTTTGTTGTTATAGAGCCGTGATAGCTCAGTGTCCGGGCGCTCGCCTTTAATTCAATATACTCGAGCAAACTGAGTTCAAATCCCGGTGCCGGCACCAATGAAGTTTTTAACTTTAAGCGCTGACTTATCACGTGCTCCGCGGTGAAAGAAAACATCGTGAGGAAACCTGCATATTTTCGAAATAATAACAAAAAAATATATATTTCGAAGATATGTGAAGTCCGCCAATTCGCAGTGGGGCTTCGTGGTGGACTATGCCCTGACACCTTCTCTATAGAGGAGGCCTTTGCCCAGCAGTGGGACATGTATAGGCTGTTACTTTACTTTACTTTATGTTTGATACGAAACAGACGGATGCACTTTTTTACACTTATGATAAACTTTAATTACGCTATCCTTTTTATACCATTCTAACGAAACGTATGCTATCGCTCTGTTTAGAAATAGGAACACATTCAACCGGTGATTTCGTACAAAACATTTTTAGTATTATATTTATAGTATATAGTATTTGGTCTATTTTTGATAAAAAAAAGTATGATTACACAACGCTTGCAAGGAGTTGCCATAAATGTAAATAGAAAAGAATTTATTATTAATCAGTACAGTGTAAAATCTGGAAATAATAAATCCAGAGAAAATTTAAATAACACCTTAGATATTGATAGAATAATAGAGGATATATTATTTGTTTACAGTGTATAAGTATTAATTAATTATGACAAGAATTTATCCTAGTAGGTTAGCAAGAAAAATATGCTAACAAAACTAATCTATAAGTATCTTGTCTTGTATTAACTGATGTTTGTGCTTTCAGTCCAGAGACTATTAAAGCTTCATCTGACGCAGAACCGGTGGGCTAGCCAGAACCCACGGGTTTGGGCCCTCCGCTGTGGGTAGGGCCGCGCATGTGCTCATGCGTGCGTTTAACTACGGCATGTCATCTAAGGGCCATCGAAGTAGCGGTGCGGACCGAGACCCCGATGGCCGTCGACTGTGTTTTTAGCTAATCGGTGGCTGGGGGCGGTGAGAACCGCCCTGGAACGCGGGTGTACCTTGTGTACGCGTTGTGTTGGTCTCGCCGTGCTCGGAGGCGAGGGCGAACTAATGTGTTTGTTGCTACACTAACTGTGTGTGTAGTGTTAACCGGCGGGACCCCCGATGG